TGATGTCTCTGAAATACAACATAATAATATCAGAGACTTGCTCGAGCATACTCGCACTCGATAACTCAACCCTACTTGTTCCTTAGTACCCTAAGGATTCTTACTTAGAGTGCGCACTGCTCCGGTGTCTTCAGTAGTACGGGCCCTATACTACCGTCCACACCGCATCAGTATTCACCCTAAGTCCTCCTCCTTGGATCCCAGATCACAAGCACCCTACCTCTCGCTGGCATAGGCTACCCTTCGGTAGACCTCTCATAAGCTCCTCACTGCTATCTACTCACTCTCAAGCATCACATAGCAGCAGAAATCTCCCTAGGCTAAGGCATCACAAATCAGGCCACTCTAGTCCTAATATGAATACCTAGCCTATTCTAGCATGCATATCATAATATATCTCATAGCACATAATATAAGGGTATTTTGGGAAATCACCGTTCGGGCGCTGGCTGATCGTACACACTGCTCCTTTCTAGTTTTCCCAAAAATCTTTTACTCTGTTAGAAAAATTGTTCCTTTTTATGAAAAACTTTCCGACATCCTCAGTTTGAGTTCAGATACGCCCGAAGGTGCATCCGAATCCCTCAAACCAAGGCTCTGATACCAACTTGTAACAACGTAAATTTTTAAAACAATTTTTCATTTTTAAATCATATTTTCAATCATCAAAAACAATATCAACCAACTGTATCCAATGTCATCATAACAAACAAATCCCAGAATCTCAAAACATAAACTCTATGAGTGTGTACGTATCATGTCGGCGCCTTCCCGCGATCCTCGCTAGTACCTGAAACACATAACACAACAACTGTAAGCATAAATGCTTAGTGAGTTCCCCAAAATACCACACACCACATATACGCCTTTCCAGGCCATAACTCTGTAGGATCTTCCGATCCATGTGTCTCAGGGGACTTCCGTCCCGAATCCGGGTAGACCTTCCGGTCCTACCCGTATCGACCTTCCGGTCCGTAACCTCTTGACCTTCCGGTCCATATCATCTCGACATTCCGGTCCTTATCATACATAACATACACAACGCATACATATCACATAACAACATACATCTCATATCATATAAGACCTTCCGGTCACACATAGGTACCCTTCCAGGTACAGTATAGTGAGAAGACTCACCTCGATGAAGTCGGATAAACTCTCGTGCTCAACGTCCCGACCTAGCCTCCTCCTAGTATTCAAATAATATCCCCGATCAATATTCTCTCATAGTCTCATCTTTAAAGATTGGGTAGAAGGCCATTCTACCCCTCTCTGAACTCTCTTGAATCAGTCTTGACCAGAACCCTAAAGTCAACGAAAGTCAACGGTCAAACTTTGACCCGACTCGTCGAGTGCACATGGGCGACTCGGCGAGTCCATGCGGGTCCTGTGAATCCTTCTAGCCTCTCTTGGCTCGTCGAGTCATCCTTCCACTCGACGGGTTTCTCCTGTCACGAATCGCGGGGCCACCCCGACTCGACTCGTCGAGTCCACTTATGGACTGGGCGAGTTTCTTCCATGTTCTTACTCAAATGACCTTCTAAGGTCAGATCTGCTTCCCTATCTATCAGATCTACCCTTCAAGTGCTCAAATGTCACGTAAAGGTGCAACCTTTACGTGCATGCAACCCACATCAAGTTATAAATGGAGAAATAACTCTAAAAATGGCAACCTAGTCTCCAATCTCTCATTTGCTTGCATAAAGCTGAGGGATAGTGACTCTATGGACCTCTCATGGTCCAGATATGATGCTATTAACACAAAGGAGACCTCCTACTCACTAGATCTTACATATAATGGGGGTAAAAACCCTAAAATCATGAAATCTATCATATCAACATGAAATAGAAAGGATTATACCTCCAGAGATGAAATCTCAAGATGATTAGCCCAGATCCAAGCCCCCTTCACGCTCTAGATTGGTGTTTCCTTCTTCCTTCTAGCAAAAACTACACCAAAAGTGATGTATTAACCTCTTCTTGCTCTCAAAATCTCCTACTGCTCTCTCTAGGGTTTCTCTGGGATGAAGTGGCCGCAAATGGAGGCCATAAAGGCCTTTAAATAGGGCACAGACCCCGAGAATTAGGGTTTCCAATTACAGCGCGGACTCGTCGAGTCCATCCTTCCCGACTCGTCGAGTCCGTTCATTAATCCAGTCAGCACACGCGCTCCTACTCGACGAGTCTACGCCTCAACTCGTCGAGTCCCTCCCTTTTACTCAAAAGAATAAATGATCAAACATAATACCTGGAAATCCGGATGTTACAGAATCTATGTATGTTATTGTTTGTATAAACTTGAATTCATTTGGCTATAAAATGTATTTTACTTTTTCTATATATATTTTTTTATATAAAAGGGCACTAATTTAGTATCTCGCCCCGGACATTTAAAATCAATGGACCGGCCTTGTTATTGATGCATGCAAAACCATAAAGTTGGAAAGTTTATGGTTAAGAGCACCTTCTTGGACTTGGATCTGGTTTTTGGACGTGTGGGTTGAATGGATTAAGCCCTTTTTCGGAGTTTTGCATGGCCATCGGGTACGCTGGGCGTACCAGGGCGTATGCTGGCGTGTAGGTGGTTAACAACTCACTTATTGGTCAAGGCAGAGTACATTGAGCGTACATCTGGGTACGCCTTGCATACTCAGTCTGATGGGTTTAGCAAGTTTGGGCTTCATTTTGGGCCACCTTTTGGGCTTGGGATGCTTGGGCCCTTATTGGACCATCTGAGTATTGCTGTTTTGGGCTAAGTGAAGGGTTGGACTTTAGGGTAAGGCCCAAGTAGGAGTTTGGGCCCAATTTGGTAAATTAGGCCGATTATGGGCTTTGTGTGATTACTTAGTTTTGGACCTTTTTGGATCAAGATTTGGGCTTGGGTCTTAGCCCGACTAGGAAAAAGGGTAAAGTGGTATTTGCCCTAATTATGGTCTAATAGCTAAGGTTGTAGTCCAATTATTAATTGGACGATTATGTTGTTGTGATAGCGCGGGGATTTGAGTGAGCCAACAGCTGAAGACTTTCAGTGTGATTGAGCACTGTGAGGTGAGTTTTCCTCACTGTACTTATGGGTCGGAGGCACCAAGGCCAACCCTTTGGATTGTTATCATGGTTTATCGTATGATCGAGTATTGTTGTGTTTTGTTAGAACTATATCCTGGTAGATGAGATGATGTTATACGTAGTGATTTGTAAGATCGGTTTGTTTGTTATTGATTGGTTACCTCACTGTACTTATGGGTCGGAGGCACCAAGGCCAACCCTTTGGATTGTTATCATGGTTTATCGTATGATCGAGTATTGTTGTGTTTTGTTAGAACTATATCCTGGTAGATGAGATGATGTTATACGTAGTGATTTGTAAGATCGGTTTGTTTGTTATTGATTGGTTAGTTGTATGCTTGTCTGTTATATGTATGTGTCGACACTGTGTATGTGTGGTTGGGTTGAGGCGGTCCTGCTTTGTGCTGAAGGCTAACAAACCCAGGGCGGCCCGGATAGACTGAAGGCCAGTAGGGCGTACCATTCAGACCGAAGGCCCGAAAAACAGTCCAGATAAGCTGAATGCCCGGTGTGGCGTACCAGTCATGCTGAAGGTTCTGTGAGCGGTCCAGGTAGAATGTAGGTCGTTGGAGCATTCCAGTCAGACTGAAGGCTCTGTATGCATGCTGTTTATTGTTTTTATTTTGGTTTTGTGTTGTGTTGGTATTTTGGGGGAACTCACTAAGCTTCGGGCTTACAATTTTGGGTTATGTTTCAGGTACCTCAGATGATCGGGGGAAGCTGAATGCGTGATCGTGCACCTCCTCATGTTTTGTTTATGATTTTGGGAAAACTCTGATAATGGACATGTTTTGGAAACTATTTTGTAAACACATGATGATTTTGGGTTGTTTAAAAAGTTTAAATTTTTTGTGAAATTTATGGATGTTACAAGTTGGTATCAGAGCCTTGGTTTGAGTGAATTGGATGAAACACTCGTGTGAGTCCAGTCTCAGACTAAGGAAAAAGATTTTTTCAAACAATTTTCAAAATGTTTTCAAATAATTAAGGAGGATGCGATGTGTACGATCAGCCGGAGCCAACAAGTAGACCCCAAAATACCACACTGTTAATTGCTATTGTAATATGTTAGAACATCATGCTAGTGATAGGCTAGGGATCTTCAGGAATTTGCATGATAAAATTGCCTGATTAAATGATACCTGATAGCCTAGGGTTCTTTTTACATGGAATTGACATCATTACTGTAGTTGCTTAGTGTATGCATTATGGTTATACATAACTAAGATTCTATAGCCTGAGAATTTTTGGTTTGGCCTTATTTCCTGTTCTTGTTTGATTAAGGGTTTAGGGTAGGATTATATATTCAACTGTCTATACGGTTCAACATTATGTATGATTAGCATACACGAGTGCTGTAGGTTGAACCTTACTTTGAGAACGAGCATAACATTATTACTTGCGTGAAAATTGTTTCTCACAGACAAGTTTCGTGCTTAGTTATATGCCGACGTTAGACTTTTGTAAATATTTCATGCGAATAATAAATCACAATCGTGAAAGTTTAGTGGAATGCCCTTTATGTCAAACTTAGGGCGTGTTTGACATGAAACGTTTGAGAGCTTATAGCTTCTAATGTTTGACAAAACGTTCCATTTTAAACAAAAAAAACTTGTTTAACACTACAAGTTTCTAACATTTAGTTTAAACAAAAACGCTCCAAATTCAAATGCTACTTCACGTAGATTTAACAAAACGCTACCAGCTACAAGCTACCCGCTAACAACTAGTTTTGCCGAACACGCCCTTAATATACACAAGAATCCGCATATATATATATATATATATATATATATATATATATAGATATATATATATATATATATATATATATATATATATATATATATATGCCGGGTTGTTGGTTTAAAATGCGAAAAATTATACATAAAACCTTCAAAATTAGTTATTTTAACGAATAACACTATATCAATTGGTTAAAAGATATTGAGATGAGATCGCACCAAGTCTTTCAATTAGAGAAAGACCATGACCGACGTGGCTTGCAAATTTTCATTACGTGGCCTGTCAAAGACCTCCATGTGGAGGCTCAAATGAAACTCGATGGGGAGGCTCAAGTCTAGGGTTCACTTTGATCATAATTAAAGCCCTAAATTACCAATTGATCAAAAAAAAATTCTGAAATCTACTCAAATTGCGGAGAAAATCGCGGGCTTTTGAATTCAGAATTCGGATTCTGCTATACCAACATCTCAAATAGTTGATTCGTCTTGCAACCATGACTGAGGTACCATCTTATTTCTGTTATGAACGTAGTATAATCGTGTCTGATTAGCACATAGCTTAATTTACCCAATCATTATCCTTTTCGTTAAAATTCATCGTGGCAATTACATTCTCATCGCCGTTGCTAATGAATAATGATAAAACAAAGAACCAAGCAAACGAAGAAAAGAAAACAATTCATGTTAAATAACTAGTGGCATTTGCTCATGGAATCCTGTTTGCAAGTTGGAATGGACTAAATTGCAATGAATGTTCCAAACCACAACTTGATGGGCGAGAATGTTGGATATATATTGAAGAAGATATGTTGGATTAAACTAAACTGGAAAGGAATGACTTCTTAATTGGAGTTGCTGGTTTACATTTGTTAATCTATACTCCTTTGATCCTTTTATACATTTGATTTATGTAGAAGTTCCAATAGTGTATACTTGCTCTATGTTTCTATCTTGCACATTATGTTGTGGTTTAAACTTTGAACATATAAAGTTTATATCTTTTACTATCTCACTGACATCTCATTTCTTTGTATTCCGATAGTGGGTTGGCCAGAGGAAAAAAAGGTGTGACGTGTGCAACATCTTCATATCCAATAATTCTCCCATCATCAAGATACATGAGCAAAGCTTACGTCACAGAGAAAATGTTAAGAAGCTGTCTAACATGACAGAAAAGAAAGATGCTAAAGAGAAAGACAAAAAGAAAACTACCCGTGTTCTCAAACAAGTTGAAGAGGTGAATATTTTATTTTCAAGAGGAGAGTGATTATTCTCAATATCAACTCTTGTCTCCCTAGACTCCCTTATATTGTTTTTCCGGATTATTCTTAAAACAAGCTCCTTTCCAAATTGGTGGCAGAAAGCGAGTCATAGTTATCAAAATGACATATCAACCTTAAAGGCCAGAGATTCTGATGCAACTTCATTAGCTGCTCAAACAAGTAGAGAAGGGATAGGTGATCAATTTACAATGTATGGAGGTTAGTGCTTGTGTCTCCTAGGTTTTTTGGGTACCTTCATCTATGTTTAGTATCTTGTAATTCGTATACAAACTAGAATATATATATATATATATATATATATATATATATATATATATATATAATACATCACAGTAGTTTTTTGGAAAGAGAAAACAAGATAACAAGTGACGATCGTTTATTCTGCATTGTTTTTCTATCATGATTGTCTTCTCATGAAAATTATATATATTTTTATCGATGACAGAATGGGAGTATGACACCTCAGCAGGTTATTTCTACAACCAAACTAACGGTTGTTATTATGATCCAAAGTCGGGCTTCTTCTACACAAATGCTTTAGGTACTAACTACAAAACCCTAAATCCCCCTTTTCTTCAACTTCCTTCATTCTGATTGACTGCAACAGGTAAGTGGGCAACACTGAAAGAGGTTCTTGCTGCTGCAACAAAACTTTCTTCACAAAAGAAACCCAATCTTGCCACATCCAAATCTCCTTTCCAAAATGGTCAACATGAGAAAGATAATGTCACCAAGTCCAAGAAGCCGTCTAACATGGTAGAAAAGAAAGTTGCTAAAAAGAAAACATCCCGTGTTCTCACACTCGCACAAATTGAAGAGGTGAATATTTTATTACTAATTATTCTCTCGATAATATCACAAATCTTATCTCCCTTCTTATATTATTTTTTCTTAAAACAAGCTCCTTTCCATATTGGTGGCAGAAAGAGAGTAATGCAACTTCATTAGCTGCTCAAACAAGCAGTGAAGGGATAGGTGATTGTGGTTGTCATCTCTCTACAATGTTTGGAGGTTAGTACTCTACTTATTTATGTACTTACTACTTTTCTTGTTTTAAATAAAAATTTTAACATTTTTTCCATAACCAACATTCCTTGATCATCCTTATAGTCAATCATGTGTTAGATATCTTGAAAACTACTTACTTTATAAAAATTTATATATATATATATATATATATATATATATTCTAAACTTGTCTTGTTGTATGCCTTGTAGAAAAAACGTGTTATCCGATAGACTTGATGCGAATGCTAGATGATCATGGTAATGCTTGGTTATTAAACATTTGCACACTTACACACGTATCAAGTTTTTTTATGACTACAAAGTACAAACAACATAGGTATTAAATTATAGCCAGAGATAACAAGATAATAACAACCAATGAGGATGAACCTTTAGTCTGCATTGCTTTTTATTTATTATGATTATGATTGTCTTGTCTTAAGAATGATACATACATCTTTTAATCATTGATGACAGATTGGGAGCATGACAACTCATATGGTTATTACTACAACCAAACTAACGGTTGCTATTATGATCCAAAGTCCGGCCTCTACTACCCCCATGATTTAGGTACTACTACAATCACAAACCCTAATTCTACATACAATCCCTCTTTTATGATTTTATCAACTTCCATTTACATTCATTGATTGAGTGCAACAGGTAAGTGGGTAACACTGAAAGAAGCTCTGGCTGCTACACCCAAACTGGCTTCCAAAAGTCAACCCTCATCATCTGTACATATAAAGAAGAGAAAACAACCAGATTCCAAGCCAAAACTGGTGTCTGAAGAGGAAGAGGCTGCAATTAAAGCGTGTGAGGTAGAAAGGAAGAGAGTAGAGGAGAGGGAGAAATTTGGTAAACTCCCAATTAGATTCACTTACACAAGGAAGAAGAGGAAAGACTGACTGACCTCAATGTAATTTATTTGGTTAACAAGGGTAATATTGTTGTCTGTTATGTATTTTTACAGTTAGGTTGGTATAAATAGTTAGTTGGCATCTTTTGACAAAATCAGTTAGAGTTGAAATCTGGGAAGTACTGGCCCAGATTTTTGTGTGTAGTCATTCCATTTCCAGTTCAACGTTCCATTCGAGTCATTTCTATCTGTTCTTAATGTTACCGTACACAAAATATTCACTCTCGTCTTTATAACTTATAAGCAGTGATGTATTTTTTATTGTGTAATGTTATGTCATGTCATGTTCTGCTTGAAAAAACTAGATATTTTCTAAGTTCCACAACCATTTTTTTTAAAATTTAATTTAATTTGATTATAATGAGACCATAAATAACAAATTATGTTTTCTAAGTTTAGCAAAAAAAGAGGGGGTGATGGTGACAATGGAGTCCACTTAGAGGTGGCAATGAGTCGACTTGGGTTAAGTCGGATTCAATCCATTTATTAAATAGGTTTAAGATCACAACCCATCACAACTTGTTAGATAAATATGTTGTTGTAAGATTAATCTGTTTATGTATTTTGGTATTTCAAACCCAACATACTAAATGAATGGATTGACACATTTAAAATTAAAAATGCAAATAGATGAAAAGAAGATACACCTATTTAAAGAACATAACTTGGAAACAATTAAATGGGTTGTCGGGTTAAAAACCCGCTAATTTGGGTTGGGTTCGGATTGAGTTTTCGGGGGCAGCACCCGTTGCGGAGTCCAACGGGTAGAGCCCCTGACGGTGGTCAAGGGGCAACGCCCCGAAACCTAAACGTATTTTTACATCAGGAAAGACTCCATACATGCATTTTCCCGCCAAAACAAGTGGTGACATCATTTCGTAAGTAAGAATCGATTAACCACCTTTTTTCCTTGTGTAAGAACAATAGTTCTTGAAAAAGGGTTGGATGATATATACTCGAAATTATCGTCAGATTCTATACCTCAAAACACAAAATAGCAATGTACTTTCTATGTTTCGAATTTGGAAGTGATCTCACTTCTAAATTGTCAATTTTTGATTATCGCAAATCAAATTTCATGATACATGAGTAAAAGGGTCGAAATCACATATTTCGAAAAGTGATTGCAATCACGATCCTAGACATTATCCAAGTACATATTGATATTCTTAGACCCAAAATCTAACATGATCTTTCCATTTTCCAACAAATAATTTATTATTTTATATCAAGAGTAAATTGCATTTTTGGTCCCTATGGTTTGCAAAAAACTATTGATGGGTCCAAAACCATTTCAACTTGCACCACTAGTCCAAAACATAAAATTTTTGTGGTTTTTGGTCTTGTGAAACTTAAAAAAAAAATACTGTTATACCCTTTTAATTTGTTTTTATATTTTTTTTAATATTTGTTTTAAGATTTTATTAAGTTGTAATTTTTGATAATTTTTGTGTTAAATTGTGAATGATTGAATTGATATGTCTCTTGAACTGTGAATTTTATATATTAAACTGTGAATAAATGGGTTCCCTCGTCTATTGCGGCTCTTCAATATTGCGAGGTTTGGGGGAGAAAGGTCGCCTTTGACGATGATACTAAGCATCCCATTTTGGAACTGGGTTGCGTCGCCAACCCTTGATTGAAACCCCCAAAGTTTTAAGTGTGAATACCTTGTATTAAGTTGTGAATGTACAATCAATAAGTTGTAGATGTACTGCATTAAGATGCAAATTTTGTATTAAACTGTGAATATGTGTTAGTTTATTTTTTTTATGTGTGTGTGTTAATTGAAACGTAAAAATGGTGTTTTTGTCATCGTTCACTAAAAAAGGAAATTTTAATAATTCGTCATATGCATCCATTTTTTTTAACTGAAAGGCTATGATTTGTGGGTTGCAATTTCCAAAATGTTAGAATGATAAAAACACCCTTAATGATAAAGAAAAAAAAAATGGTTCCTAAAATTCCTAACCTTTAAAAGTTCATATTTGAACCGCTCCCTATATATACAATTTTTTTTGACTATTAGTGGTTAAATGGTTTTAAAAAAAATTATTTACCATTGAAAGAGAAGAAAAAGAGAAGAGAGAAAATGCAATGAATAAACATTGCATGGTGACACCATCCACCCTCACTGCTTCCATGTAGTGTTCCTGGTGCGGTGAAAGTGTCATATCACCCCACCGCACCATGCCATGGATGTACTCCCTCCAACCTAAGCCAACAAACTACTTGGGTAAAACATTTTTGACTTTGACATATACAAAAAAAGGTTCACCATCAACCATTTTTAAGACGAATAATTGTATTTCCTACACAAAAAGTCATCTTGGTTTATTTGTTTCGTAAAGAAAAGAAGGTAGGCGTGAGTAAAGGCAGCAACAATAAGACAGAGGGTAAAATATGGCAATGTTCCATTTTGTAGGGGGTCAACAGGAGGTTTCTTTATAGAAAACGGAAGAGCAAATTCTAGGGTTCAATTTTGGATCATAATTTAAAGCCCAAAATTATCACTCGCCTGATCAAAATTTTCAAAATCTACGCAAATTGCGGAAAAAATCGTGGGATTTTGAATTCGCAATTTGGATTTGCTATACCAACATCTCCAGTAGCTGATTCGTCTTGCAATAATGACTGAGGTACCATCTTATCTCCGGACTCTGATTCTAATGTATTATATCAAAGCAATTTTAATTGATCGAGGGTCTTATATTATTCTTTGATATGAACATAGTATAATCGTTTCTGATTAGTATATGCCTTGATTCTACGCAATCATAATTTTTTTCCCTATAAATTGTCGTTGCTAATGATAAGATAGAGTACCAAGCAACTGAAGAAAAGAAAACAATTCGTGTTAGATAAATGCGTTAAACTGCAATGAATGTTCCAAACCACAAATCGATGTGGGGAATGATTGGATCCTGTGAAGAAGATATATTGCAGTAAACTAAACTGGAATGGAATGACTTCTCAATGGGAGTTTTTGGGGCTCTTAAAATACTTTGTCATTGGCCATGGTCTTTATACATGTGATTTAATGGAAACGTTTCAATAGTGTATATCTGCTCTATGATTCTGTAATGTTGGGTTTTCTTTTTTGCTGTGTTCATACTTTGAACATATAAAGTAAAATATCACTGACATCTGATTTGTTTGTATTTCAGTATTGGGTTAGTCAGGGAAAAAAATGGTGTGATTTGTGCAAAATCTTCATATCCAATAATCCTTCAAGCATCAAGAATCATGAGCTTGGCACACGACACAAAGATAATGTCACCAAGAGGTTGTCTAACATGAGAGAAGAGAAAGTTGCTAAAGATAAAGAAAAAAAGGAAACTGCCCGTGTTCTCACCAAAATTGAAGAGGTGAATATTAATTATATTTTTCATGAGACACCTCAAATACTATTTCCCTTCTTATATTGTTCTTAAAATAAGCTCCTTTCCAAATTGGTGGCAGAAAGCGAGTCTTAGTTATCAAAAGGACATATCAACTTTTCAGAAGGCTAGAGATACTAATGCAAATTCATTAGGTGGTATTGGAGGGATAGATGATGGCTCTACAATGTCTGGAGGTGAGTAATATTCTCAATTTATTATCTTCTTGTATCCGACTTTCACAATAGCTCCAAATTAATGTGGTATGATGTACATGTACTACCATAGTCTTACCCATATTATATAACATTTCCATGAAATGAAATCTCTTAGAAGATAAAATCACAAACAATGACAGATAATCAAAAGCTTCACTGTATTGATCATGTTGTAGAGTTCTTTTGTGCGTTTTTATCCACTTTTACAAACTTCATATCGACAACTTTCCTTTATTATAACCTATAATATTCTGCGTTGTCTTATTTATTTATTATAATTATAATTATTTTCTTGTCATAAAAATGATCTTGATGACAGAGTGGGAGCATGACACCACATCCGGTTATTACTACAACCAAACTAACGCTTGTTATTACGATCCAAATTCTGGCTTCTACTACACTGATGCTTTAGGTACACTCACAATCACAAACCCTAAATCTAAATCCTTATTTTTTTTTATCAACTTCCATTTTTTATATTCATTCTGATTTTTGATTGAGTGATTGCAACAGGTAAGTGGGTAACACTGCAAGAAGCTCTTGCTGCTGCACCCAAACTTTCTTCTGGACCCATACAAAAGAAACCCAATTTTGCCACGTCATCATCATCATCATCCTTGCCTTCCAAAACTCAACCCCCAACACAATCTGCTAACAGGCCATCATCTCTTTACATAAACAAAAGAAAACGACCAGATTATTCCAAGCCAAAAATTGTGTCCCAAGAGGAAGCCGCTGCCCTCAAGGCACGTGAGGCGGCAAGAAAGAGAGTCCAGGAGCGAGAGAAATCCTCACTCGGTCTTTATAAGCACTGATGTACTTACTGTGTTATTCTGTCATGTCCTGTTCTGTGTGTCATGTTCAGATAGATAAACCGGGTATTTTTTTTTTTTTAAGTCATACAACACTATCTTTTGATTTTTTTTTCGTTAATTTGATAAGATGACCATAAATAACTAAAATGATATGTTGTAAGTTTAGGCAAAAAGGTAGGGGGGCCTGGTGTTGGTGGTTCGTCGGTGATGGCGACAATGGAGTCCACTTAGTTGACTTTAGATGACAACCATTTTTGGTCACATAAATCGGCCACTCATTAGTCATTTTAATTCCCCTACGGACCCCCTTCTATCCTTCCACGTTTCCCTACAAATAGTTTTATATTATATATCACATTTGGTCTGATATGGTTATATTTTATTGAAAACATGATAACTTAAATATGTCAATTGAGACAAATTTAAAAAGGTAAAAAAAGATAGAAAAAGTTTTTTAGTTAAATTGAATTATTAGTGTTGATGGGAATGAAGCATTATTGGAGATGCTTTGCTAAAGAAAAAGGTAGTGGGGGGAAAATATATTACACGAGTGAAAAAGCAATCGACCTGTAATGAAAGGACGATATAAGATCTCATATTTTTGTAGGATATGCATAAAGCTATGGACATGGAAGGGCGGTTTTGTAGCAATTTGCCTATTTCTCTTATTGATTAAATAATTTCATGGGCCCATCGACGATGACAATTTTTAATAAAAATTGAAAAGTAAAGATCTTGATAAATTCCAAGAATAGGCTAGTTTTTTTTTTTTTTTTTTTTTTTTTTTTTTTTTTTTTTTTCCAAATTGCTACGTCGACGGTTTAATTATATATCAAGACTCAAGTATACGGAGAAGTGATTCATATACAACAGTTACATCATAATTTATATTTTAAACTGCAAATTGTTATAATTTATATTTTAAACTGCAAATTGTTATGTATGTAAAAAATTGATGTGTACAAATTACCAAAGTATGTGTTACTTTGAATAATGAAGTCATTGTCTTCATTGATGGTGATGGTCAAAGGATGAGTGTTAATAGCCAAAGAATAAGAGTAAATAAGTTGTGTTAAATATAATGAGGTTCATCATTGATGGAGGGTCTACAATCTACATACCAATAAAACAAAGAATCAAGGTAAATAATGGACAATAAACATATCTTTACTTACAACTTGTATAGGATTTTCATATTTATGAATTAGCCAATAAACACTACTAAAAAAATTATGGTATCGTATTTCATCCTCTTGATGATTATGTGAATACAATTCTTGATGATTATCTGAATTTTCAAACTTAATATATTTCTAGTTGTAATAAAATTCTTTACTTTATACATAATGCCAAGGACATGGAGGATGGTTTTGTAGCACTTCCACATTCAACATTCAACATGTATACATTTATTTGACTAAATAATTTCATGGTCCCATTCCCATCAAAGTTTCTTGTGTGTTTGGACATGGAATAAACATTGACTACAAAGTCAAATGAAAAAAACAAAGCAAAGTTAGTGGGTTGTTTGCAAATTCTATACTTCTATGTCGTGTTTACATTGTGAATTTATTGGGTTTTTCTCCTAAATTTGAACAAAGCACAATTTGATAAAATAACGATAAAAACCCAATAATGTTTTTAATCAACGCATTTTACGTCATTCTTCCACACAATTTTTTTAAATAAATAAATAAAACGATCACAAAAAGCATATGTATATACTCGTTTATTTTACAAATTTTCATTGTTGGATTTTTAATCCAGCGATCATAAATTACACATTGTACGAACATAAACATTCAACAAGATCCACGTTACGTAATGTAAAATTTAAAAACACATTCTGTAAATGTGATGATCAAAAAATCAGATTAAAATTGATCTGATGAATTCTTCCGGTGTGATCTTGAAATTCATTGCTTCATAAGAGAATCGATTCCTCGGGAGATCTCATGAACGCTTCCTGCATTTTGATGGAACCTTAAGCAACCCATTAATCCTGATTTGTATGGCAAGGTGGTCTTCCTCCCTATCTCCTCCTGATCCGCCGCCGTGTCATCCGCCGACACATTCATTGAACCACCACTATCAGTGCTTCTGAAGCTAAACGTCGTCTTGACGTCACGATCACTCTTCTTTAACATCGTGTATTTCTTCAATGGATCCTTCCTCGTTGATACGCTTCCCTCCGACGCACTTCTGAACAGTAGCAGATTCTTGAGGTTCCACTTGTTGTACCAAGTTAAACCCGTCGGTGATGATTGACCCGTTGTTGAGTTTTTCTGGTTGTTTAGAACATCAGAGACTCTAAATGGTGATAGAGATCGAGATGCTTTGCGTCTGGTGGATTTCGTCGTTTGTTCTCGTCCGCGTTCCGGTGGATTTTCCTCAGGGTTAGTCTGCTCACCAGATGTTTGTTTTAATGCCTCTGAAAAAGGATCGAAATCCTTCTTCTTACTCCGTGGAGACAACGCTTCTTTGAAGCGTAATTTAGGGGATTTGGGCGATCGGGGTGAATGTGAATCATTAGAGAAATGCAGACGTGGCGGTGGTTTTAATGGCTTGATCTTGCCGCCATCAAAGAGCTCGTCGGCGGCGGAGATAGAATGCCGTTCCAAATGGCCGAATGCAAAATCCGAATCGTTTTCTACATCTTCTTCTTCAAAACTATCATCGTTATTTGTTTGCGAATCCCTGGTTTTTCTTCCCAGGTGAAAGGGATGGTGGACTGAGGGCTTGAAGGTGCGGTGACGTATGGAGAAGTGGAGGTGCTGTCGTAGTTGAAGTCGATAGCCGGCGACGGCTTTATCAGTTGTACTTCCATGTAAGGAGATGGAGATGGATGATTAGGTTTCTACATTTAACAAGTGAATATGTAGAAGAGTTGCAGAAAGTGGGTAGGAAGGAGAGGACCCCAGCTTCTGACTGCAAGCCAAGCCGAGTCGCGCCAAGCGAAATACATGCACTCTTTAGAAATTGTGAAGTTCTAGTTTTTCTATTTAATATTTTTAATATAGAGAAAATTATAAAAATGGTTTTTATTTGTTTGGTTTCAGGTTTTTTTTTTTCAAATTATATCAGTGGTCCAAAATTATATCTTTTGTGGTCCAAAATTATATTTTTTTGGTGTTGGTCTCTGCAAGACTTGAAATAACTTTATATTTTTATAATGTTTTTTTTTTCAATTTTTTTTTTAATTATTTTAGTACTTAATTTTTTTTGATTTGACTATTTAACAAATTAATTTAACAGTAATCTTCTGATTTTATTATTTTTTAAGAAAAGCATCAACTTTTATTATTTCGGAAAAACCCTTCAACATTTTTTTTAGAAAACCACTCACATTTAACAAATTTTTTCGTTTGAACCAATTTTTTGTTTTGACTTACAATTCCCCTATTTTTCTTATTGTTGCTTGATAAGTACACAATCATCGAGGAAGTTTGTTACTGGAGAGTAGCTTCAATGTATGTCTTTAATTCACGAAATGAATCGGTTAGTGTATCTCGGGTCAAAACCCGAATATACAATCCTAATGATAAAGTAGTACGTGTGGGAGTGAATAATCAAGAACCAAAAAAGAATTTGAAAATATTAAGAGCATAACATTTATGTATTAGTTGTTTTTAAACATGAAATCGAAGTCTATGTTGTTCATTTTAATACATGAGTTATTTTCATTGACCAACCAAATTTAAAGTTTAATTTATTTTAGTTCGGACACACTATTAAATATAAATTTGATTCGATCTGACAACAATCGAAGATTTATAACTAACTTCGGGTTAATAAAGTTCCAAACAAAACAAACCAAACAACCAAAACCAAATCTATAAATACATGTTTAATGGTAATTAGTAAAGTCTAAATACTTTTATATTTAATTAATAAAATATGTAATTTTTAATGGTTTTAAGTTTGTTACCTTTACGTGCTTAGGTAAAACTTTTTGGCTTCGCTATTAGCTATATGTACAATTGAATTTGATTGGACTTGTTTAGATTATTTAAAAAGTCTTGAGCTTGAATCTTATGTTTATGTATTGTCGAATAAATTGCTAAAGTACATCCAATTACATATCTTAAAACATGGTTTTTCAAAATTTTGATAAAAAGAATAAAAGCTTTAATGTTATATGTGATTTTTGAGTTCTATAATTGGATTAAATTCGGTGTTACTAGAATTGAAGAAGCAAGATCCATAAGACATGGTTTACAAGAAAGGCTTTTAGTGCTTTCCAAATGGCTTTACACCTTTACTTATGAATGTACTCATTGCTCTTTCTCATTATGGCTCTTGCTCATGCTTCCAATCACCTTTTTCTATATTTATTTTTCTTATAACCACAATTTCATATAAGTGGTCCATTAAGTTAATAACCTCTAAAATAAACAGTGTTGTAATTTAGTTAATCCTTTTCAATGTAAAAGAAAACGAAAACGATCCATTTTAATTCGAAAAAAACAAATTAAGTTCAACAAGACATCAAAAAAGAAAAACCCATCGAAAGCACCATTCGAATTCAAGACATGGATGCAAAACTACAAGCATGATTACTTGGAACCCGGAAACTTTCCATGCAAAAAAGATGAGAAAAGTGCGATTGCTCGAGCAGGTTGGTAACTTGGCACAAAGTGTCCGGCTCCTCTAACAGTCACAAATGTCAAATTTTCATATTCAACCACGTATCCACCAACCTAATCACAATCAAAACAATAAAAAACAAAATCTTTAGATTAATTACACATGATGTTAGTACTATTTTAAGTTGTAATTGTCAGTTTCTGACCTCTCCTTTCAAATACCATGGGTGCCATGGTGTCTTCACTGTTGTATTAAGTTTCTTTATTGCGTACATTGTTGTTGTCACTGGCACAGAACTATCAGTATCTCCACTGCAATTTTATAAATGATCATATATATGTATAATTAAGGAAAATCTAGGTATATATGTATATTTGTAATTCTTTACTTGAAAATATTTTTGGGTATAATATATATATATATATATATATATATATATATATATTATATAATATATATATATATATATATATATATAATATATATATATATATATATATGATGACTACCTATAAAGCCAAACACGAATGCCGCTAGCCATGAGCCTTCGAATGGTTGGCAACACAGTAAATGGTTGGTCTTTCCAATTGTCAAACAATTCATCGCTACACACATAAAATAATTGTGTTATCACTCTTTGATCTAAAACACATTATTATACAAGTTTCGAGAAAGCATACATACTTGCAATCTTGCCACCTTCCAGGAAGCCCCGTGAGGTTTGCATGAAGTGATTTTTGAACTTCGGGTAAGTTCAAGTAACTTTCAATGTATTCTAGAGAACACGGATCAAATTCTGATTTCTGGTTGAGAATCAACACAAATAATTAACTCATGTTCAGATAATATAACATAAGATTTGATTTTGACTGGTTAATTAAAAAGGAAAAAGAATAAATTTACCTCTGAAGAAGTTCTATTTAAACACAAGGGAGCATAGATATCGTACGGATAAATGTTTCCAACAAGGTCATACTCTTGATTAATGTAATTTTTACAAACTTTAGATAAAGTAGCATTCCAAGAAAAGTCACAATTCGTGACTATTCCTTTATGGATTTCGTCAGAAGTAATAGAACGCGACCAAAAAAAATCATGTGTTCCCGTTTGTTGAGTTTCGTCATCCATGTATGAATTTCCAATCTTTAACATATAAAATCAAAGACCATTAAAACTTGCAAAAAGAGAAATACAAAAAAGTTATTGTTTTTTAATACCAATGTGTGATCAAGCTTACCACAATCCCCTTGAGGTTGATAACAGTACGATTAGCGTTCTTGTTGCTTTTAATGATGAATTCGGCAAGTTGAGGTATGTAATGACCGGAGTAACTTTCTCCGGTGAGGTAGAAATCTCTGGTTTTGTATTCAGGGAACCTTTCTAGCCAATTGATCAGAAATGTATATGAATCTTTTGCAGTTATTTTATCTCCGGTGGTTTTATAATCGGAGGTCGTGTTGGAGTACGAAAATCCAACTCCGGCAGGTGATTCCAAAAAAAGTATGTTAGCCACTGCATATATTACAGTTGTAAATAGTAAGTTTGTGAGATTTTTAAGGGTTAGTTGATTTAATATGTTTTGAATTGGATTAGAGAAATTAAATATCCTCTTATTTTTTTGTTCCTATAACTCTTCCTATCAAATTAAATTGTGACATGTGTAACATTTAATCCTTATTTAATGATATTTTAATATACTAATATGCCGTTATTTAAATGGGTAAAATGATTGGTAGGAGAAAAAGTAGAAGGATATTTAATTTCTTTATCATATTAAAATTTAAGATTTTTGTGTTTAATTATAATAAATTAGTAGCGGATGTAGATTCCGTCGGAACAAATATTAAATAAAAAAACAAAAACCCGAATCAGTCTAAGTGGTATGGCTATAGATATATCGATTTTTTGTTAGAACATAAACCAATATATATTGCAGTTGGTTTTTTAAAAGATAGACAAAATTGCAAAAATGGTCCCTGGTATGCATTTTTTAGGGGTTTAGTCCAAACCAACACTTTTTTGGCTTCGTGGTCCTTTTGGACTAGTTTGTATGTGAAAACAGTCCTTTCGAAAATTGAAATGACTGTGATACCCTTGGGGTATTTATTTTTCATTTTTCTTTCATTTTTTTAAAATTTAATATTTATTTATTTATTTTAACAATTAAAAAATAATATAGGACCCATCTCTCTCTCTCTCTCTCTCTCTCCTATCTCTCTCCTATATTATATATATATATATATATATATATAGATATATATATAATATCTATATATATATATATATATATATATATATATATTAGGGGTGATCGCGGTTCGGTTTGAAACCGTAAAACCGGCCAAACTGGTCATCGGTTTGGTTTTACGGTTTAGTATATTTTTTCTTCACGGTTTGACTTACGGTTTCGAACTTTTCAATCGTAGTTAACGGTTTGGCTTATGGTTTTTAAGATTTCAAACCGTAATAAAAACCGGATCGGACCGTAAGTTTATATATATAGATATATATATATAATATATATATATATATATATAGATATATATATAGATAATTTAAATTTTTTATATGTAATTGTATTTTGTTGTATTATATATTAATTTTTATATATAAATAATAAAATTTAAAACCCACAACATTTAATTACCCAAACCAATATTAGTTTATTTTGAATCCATAATTAATGTAAGGAATCTGTAGTGTGCATTTGGTCATGTTTAAATCACTCCTTGTTGAGCTTGATAAAAGTGTCATTTGCTTCCACATTCATTGACAAAAGTAGTCTTGAACTAATAAGAAACATATCAAATCTTCTACTTTTACGCTACCTGCTTGTAATGAATATAAATCTACACTTGGAAGAATTATTTTATTAACTTCAAAAATGTTAGCAATTATGTTTTGTAATATATATTTCTAATTTTTTTGACTAAAATTTGATCTGATATGATTCGGTTAAGGTAGTTGGGTGGGTATGGAGATTGAAGATCCTTCCCCTCTTTCAGTTTGTTTTTCATTTGAATATGTATGTATGTATTCTTGTCAATTTAGCATGTTTAGCACATTCACTCACTTGTGCCACTCTTGTGGGCTAAAAACGACTTCAGATATGCAACAAATATGAAATGACCCACCCAAGACTAGAAATAAATTAAAAAATTACTCTTTTAATAGTGTAGTTTTTTTTTTCTAAATTAGTATAATGTGCTCGACTAAAATGGGCCTGAAAAACCCAAACCGTGAAACCAAACCGGAACCAAACCGTTAGTAACGGTTTGGTTTGGTTCGGTTTTAATTTTCAACGGTTCGGTTTCGGTTTTCGCATGACAAAAACCGTTACTAACGGTTTGGTTTCGGTTTGACCTAAAAACCGAAAAAATCGGACCGTGAACACCCCTAATATATATATATATATATTATATATATATATATATAGATATATATATATATATATATATATATATATATATATATATATATATATATATCAACAAACACAAACCTAATTAAACAATAACCAATATTCCCCTTCTTTCATAAAGAATCTGGTGATCGGAAGCACAAAAAAAAGAAATTCACGATTTCTACATCCAGTTCAAATAAGAAATCATCCAGTGCTCAATCGAACTATCCTCATTTTCCAAATATCGATTTTTGTATTGATTGCAAGGCGATAAAGGGGCGTCTTGGTTTAAAGTTGCTAAGCAAAATTTGAACCAAAGATCGGTATACAAAGGTTGATGACCGTGGCAGGATCCGATGTCATTTCAGTGATGCCCCAAGCATCTTCCATCAATGGAGATTCAGATTCGACGCTTCCCTTTGAGATCGTCACCAGATTCACCTCCATCTCGGTGGCATACATCTTCTAGCGGTGTTTTGATGTTCATCTCCTACAACCCCACTGTCGCCGGAGAAGACGGTAGAGAAGGTGGTGTCGACAGAGTCCCGTAATGCACACCTCCGAAACTAAAACCCCAAATCTCCACATTTATTGATTCTAAAGAAAAAGGAGACGGAAATGAAGGCTTGGGGTTTTGAATCAGAGAAAGGAAATCGGTAAGATGGTTTGGAGATTATCTCTGAATCTGAAATCGATCTGAAACTAAAACTCCAAATCAAATATGGTTCTGATTGTGGTTCGGAAATGTTGCAATTTGTCGTCGCCATCACTAATGTGTTTGAAGAACAAACCCATATTGATTTCTTCCAAAAATCGATCCCGGTTTCTGTAGTATTCTCTGTGTGCGATTTCACGATCTCCATCGCCAGTTCTGATTTTCTTCGAGGAACTTGGATCGTGAATAAAACAGCCACCGCCGGTTCCAATCATTCTCCTCCATGCTTTGATGCCTATTGTTTCGTAAACATGAAACTTTGATTTTGGTCTCTATGTTTTAGTAAATCTATTGTTTTTGTCTCTCTGCGTTCTATTTGCAGGAATTTATGTGTATGTATGTGTTTGTGTAAACAAGCGAGAAGGAATATCGTTGTGGGGGGGGAGAGAGAGAGAGAGAGAGAGAGAGAGAGTGGACCCTCTCTTTATTTCTTAATATTAATATATATATATATATATATATATATATATATATATATATATATATAATATAATTAAATTAAAAAAATGAAAGAAAAATGAAAATAAATACATGAGGGGGATTGCAGTCATTTCAGTTTACCGAAGGACCAAATACACATCGAAACTAGGCCAAAATGACTGCCAATCCAAAAAAATCAAGATTTGAACTAAACCTCAGAAAAAATACAAACCACAAGAACCATTTTTGCAGTTTTGTCTAAAAGATAATAACGTATACCTTTAATAAACTTTACCATGTATACATATTCAATAATCAAAAGATGTATTAAAAGTCTCCAAGAAATCAAATATCATCCTATATTCTTGGTATTTATCATTCTACTAGTTACATAAAAACAAATAACAAAATAAAAAAAATGATTAAAAGAAGAATTAACGGTATTCATATATCATTATCTTATATTATATTAGTAGGAGAATAGTCATTTATAGAAAAAAAAAATAGAATAGAAGAACAAATATGAAAAAAAGAAGAGTAGGAGAGTAAATATGAAAAAAGTAAAAGGATATTAAAATTTTCCTTTTATGGTCAACTAAGTTTTGCACCCTATCAATTTATAATTATTTTGTGAGCACATGAGGAAATTAAGTTGTAACGGCCGCACAGTAAATGTGACTACAGGAAGGTTATTTTGTCGTTATATTATTATCATTTATAATCATAGGAAAAGTTTTAAATATTTCTCTAAAAAATAACATTAACAAACACTAAAAGTAAAAGAAGCTACCGAACTTTTTTTTATTTAATTAAAAACAATTACAACAAGTTCGAATAACTATCTAATTTCCAATAAATGCATTTTAACAAAAATTTAACCAAAGAGCTTTTGGCCTAGTCGTAAGATGTGATTCTCTCAAATGAGATGTATGAGTTCAAATCTTTTAGGAGACATAAATGATATTCAGATAAGTTAGTTAATTTGTCATTTAAAAAAAATAATAATAAATAAAAATTCTAAAAGGATAGTTTGTATTAAGATAAATATTTTACTTTTTTTTATTAAATTATTAAATTAAATAGATGGTATCAAATTAAGTAATTAAACATTTAATTGTTATTGGTTTTTTTTTCTTCAGTTTACATAATACAAGTGATTCTTTTTTATCAGTACATACTAAGAAAATTTTGGTATATTAAAATGTGATCATCTAATGAATTCAAACTTTATTGTATAAACTAATAAAGTATAAAATATGATAACTCTATATACATTTATCTCTACCTTAAAATACCAAATAATCGGCAATCAACGTTTTATAGACTAATCATTCAAAAATAAATGTCATAAACATTTTATCAATAAATCAAGGTAACAATAAAAGAAAAATAAGCATAAAAATCATTATACTCATTTTTTTTTTCTTCAAAAGTAGAATATAATTATGAACAAAAGGAATATTCATTCACTCAAAATGTCAACAAAAAATGATTATTTTTGTATCAAAGGTTTTTTCATATAAAAAAAATATATTTACAAAAAATAGCTCCTATTTTATAATAAAATTTTATGTTCAAATAAAAAATATATATATATA